TGAGTATTCCTGTACTTTTACAGAATCTGATTTCTTTATACATATTTCAACCTTTTATGAAGTCTAAATACAGATGCTCCTCGTCCTGAAGCGAGCGGCAAGGTTCACGAAACGTTGGCATTAGCAGTGGATTATAACACGGCGATAACCCACAAACTCTGGCATCTCTGACGAAAATACCCGTGAAAGCTTCAAAAGTGTAATGAAGCCTGAATAGCTTGAATTTATAGAAAATTCTAAATGTATTCGCATTGAGATATTATCAGATCAGAAGTTCCTTTCTATGAATAAGTTTTCCTGGTAATATTCTTGTATTGATTTTGTCCTTGTAAATGTTTACCGTCAGCACTTCTTCTCGGAAATATCTCGCTTCGCAAATATCTCGAGCGACTTTTTAAAATCGTTTTAAAACAGCTACAAAGATTTTTATTTATTTAGAAAAAAATTATATCGCAATGTTTTTCAAAAATCCCGGGTCCACACTATGGACCTACCTTATTAAAGGACTTAAACATTAACAAAATTTACGTTTAATTATGTCTCAACAAGAAAGTATAGTTTAGTATTTGTTTTCTTATTTATTTTAAAATAGAAGAATAACACCTTAAAAATTAATTTAGGGTACAAACTCGTTACTCTTATTAACTTTAAATTACGTTAATCATGAAAATCATGGAAAAACTTTGATGTATTTAATAGGTAAACACATCAAGTGTCAACAAAAGAAAAAGATAGCAGTCATGGCAGTAATTATTTCATAATTTCGATCCTATCTAAAAACAGATTAAAAATCTTTCATAAAATTTTATAAATTTTCATTATAAAGATGTTAATTTAAAATTTGTAAATGTTCTTTTCGCGTTAATAAAATATGTTGAAGTAAAATTCTGTTATGACTCAAATCAAAACTCACATAAACAGATTACTGTCTAATTTAGTAACTTAATAATGTAATAAAATATGTAATTTCTATCGTTACGTTTTCGAACTAAAATACTATCGATGACAAAGATAAAAAAAATTTGCTGTCTGATACTGAGATCAAATCACGTGACCTCGTTCTAGATGGACAGACTTATTTATATTGGATTATCGCTCTTCTACAACAGACAATCTTATAGAAAACGAGTCACGCTTCGTTTATGCTTAGCAAACTTTAATCTTTTCAGGTCGAATGCACTTAAATCGCAAGTCATTGTGCATTCTGCCAAAGAGACCCGGATGGCGTTTCTTCCCATCGCTTGTCTAACGTTCGTAGAAACCGGAAGTACCTCCGACCCGCCTCCCTTGCGACTCTCGCACCGTGCGGTGTATTATCGCGCGACCGTAAAAAGGCCCCTTCTTGATCGGCGCGAGAGCGCCAACCGCGGGGAGATAAGATCGGCGGGGAACCCCGCTGCTTGAACACGTTTGTTACGTCCGTATTACCTTGGGACCTTATCGCCCTATGCCACTTCACCTTGATAACGACACGATAGTGTTCATGGTACTAACAGTGCGTGATAAATAGAAATGCGTAGTTGCGCGCAATTTCTTGTCGCAAACGAGAGAGAGAGAGAGAGAGAGAGAGAGAGAGAGAGAGAGAGAGAGAGAGAGAAAAAAAAGAGAGAGAGAGAGAGAGAGAGAGAGAGAGAGAGACGAACTAGAGTGACGTAAATGATCTAACTTGGAGGTCTAGGAGTTAGAAAAGTACAAGTATGCAAAAAAAATTACGCTCTTATAGATAACACAGATACCTAAAAACTTTATGTATTCAGATCTTATCCGTTCCTATCAATGTAGATTAAAATTAGAAAAAGATAGTTGAACCAAGACTAAAATTAAACTACAGTAAAAATGGACTTTAATCTCTCAGGTTAAACTGCAAAATCGGTCCATCAAGTCGAATGTACTAAGGAATCGTATTGTACATATTATAACACACAAGAGGAATCCCCTTCTTTTTCTTTTCATTG